TCTACGTAGAACCATAGAAAACACATTCTCCACCAATCTGAAGAACCCTTTGTGATGTAGCCCAGCTCTGCTAGCACAGTGAAAAACCCAAAGACTACAATAAAGTCCTAACACTCTGTAATCCTGTACAGGTTAAAGTCATGGTGCTCTAAATCTCTCTGGATCTCCAGACCTCCACCAAGGGCAAGCGTCTCGGCAAGGCCGCCTAGGGTGCGCCTACGACGGATACAAATTTGCGAGATTCCAGTGTCCGTATCTCCGGTTCCCTGAAGGCCAGCGATGCGGTCCAGGGCTTGCTGGAAAGGTGCAGCGCGCTCTACTGACCTGCAGAGTTTGACTTCGCCACCGTTTTTTCAAAGTCGGATTTTCAAAGTCACTTGCTGCAAAACTTCCCTTCTCCTGTGGTTTTATTCATGACATCATCGGCGATTAGTCGACGCCAACTTGATTTCCACCACAAAACTTTTATTTTTAAAAAATCTGATGTCGTGCAGCCCAGAGTGTGTCATACAGCATCATAATCAAGCCTATTTCCTCCACACGGTGAAGATCAGTCCTGCTGATTGGTATAAATTTCTTTTACTGACCCGACTGTATTTACTAATAACAGAGAACGTGATGAAGATCAGGGACTCTAATAGACTCTGTGTAGAAGTGCTACAGTCTTCATCTACTCCTACAGTGTCCTCCACTATGATATGACCCCCTGACCCCCCCCAGCTCACTGCCCTCATCAGAAGTGAGGAAAAGTTTAGTTAAAGGGAAGGAGAGTTTGTTGAAGCTCGTCTGGAGAGTGTTTCTCCTCATTAGTGAGGAGTAGAGGGCAGACAGTGGGGGGGCCTGTGGCTGGACGCCCAGAATTCACCCCCCCCCACCCCATCCACTCTGCCACATGACCCATTATTACATTAGTAGGCAGCTGATTAGTGCTGGGTGTGTGATACTAACGTCGTACGCGCCTGTGAGGGATGAGTTAATCTGAAGTTATACTCGATTACAGTAAAAGTACTAAAGTATGACCTGAATCTGTTAAAATACTGGTTTTGGTTTTAGTGAAATTAGGCAGTTTTTGGGGGGAAATATATGCTGAGAATGCAAAATATGGTGCATTTTTTTCCAGTACTGCATAAACAGTTCCTTTATTTTAGTATTTGGTGTATTCTTAGCAATAATTCTAAATTATTTCCAAAAAAATCAAAAATGAACAGGTGGAATTGGAGATTTGTTGATTAAAAGAATAATAATGTACAGTTTCAGGGAGGAAATGATTAATTAGTCAACCTTGAATTTCCCCACAATTCAATTCACTTTGATTATTACAAGAATAATTACAAGATTACAAGAACACGCCTCCTGGTATTTCCCCATGTTTCTAAATTAATACTCATGATTTCTTGTAATACTGTTAAGCTTCATCAGCTGTCTGTAAAGCACTTTGAGCTGCCACTGCCATGAAAAGTGCTATATAAATAAAGATTATTGTTATTATTATTATTATTATTATTATTAATTGTTACAAATACGCTGAATACCGGAGGAACTATCTACACAGTAGTGGATGACATTTTGGGGCATTTTTACATTTGAGACTTTTATTGTGTCCAAAAAATGAGTCCATACTTTGTGTTATTATAATATTATAATCAACTGTAACATTCTAACGTTTGAAAATCGGTGCAGCTGAATCAGCAGCTTCAGATCAAGGCTTTTTAAAAGGCCAGTTCGACCCTCTCCTCACATCCTGCATCAGAAAGAAAAACCCTGAAAACTCATCCGCGGTTTTCCTGAAGCTCAGTGATCCAGTCTGATCAATTACAGCCCAAACAACAACAACAGCATCTGCTCCACCAAACCTCACCGCAGCGCCGGAGAGGGAGAGCGATCCGCCGTCTCAGGTGAGCTGCTCACGCTCCCTCACTCTGCCTGTCGTTTATAAATGCTTAATTATTCATTTGAATTTCAATGAGACGTGAAGGGGATAAATACTTTATCTATGTAAATCCACGGAGCCAAAAGGGGAGACGAATTACATAAGCAGCACAGCCTGGGTTCTCCTCCCTCCTTCATCATCATACCTTCTGCCACCTGGCCTCATTCACTCCATCATCCCTCTCTGACTCTAATTTCCTCCCTTCACTCGTTCTTTAATTTCCCCTCTCGCTCCCTCTCTCTAATCGGCGGGAGTTATTGGCTCCACCACCAGGTAAAGTGAAGTGATAGTGCAGATGGACCTGAGCTTAATGAAACAAAGACACAGCAGCGCCGTGAAGGCAGAGATCCAGAGAACAGAGCTTTAGTTTGGGCTCAAATTTATTGTTCTGAAAGTTTTACACACTAAATGGGTCAGAGATCATGTAACCCAAGACCTGTTGCTGGAGTCCAAGCTGACCAAGAATACAACTGTACTGCAAAATTCTCTGACCTGACTGCAGCTGGCAAACTTCCATATGAATGTAATTAAAAAAAAATTCTGTCTGAACTCGACTGTAGCCCACAAAATTCTGTCTGAACCGACTGTAGCCCTACAAAATTCTGTCTGAACCGACTGTAGCCCTACAAAATTCTGTCTGAACCGACTGTAGCCCTACAAAATTCTGTCTGAACCGACTGTAGCCCACAAAATTCTGTCTGAACCCGACTGTAGCCCACAAAATTCTGTCTGAACCCGACTGTAGCCCACAAAATTCTGTCTGAACCGACTGTAGCTCACAAAATTCTGTCTGAACCGACTGTAGCCCACAAAATTCTGTCTGAACTCGACTGTAACCCACAAAATTCTGTCTGAACCGACTGTAGCTCACAAAATTCTGTCTGAACCGACTGTAGCCCACAAAATTCTGTCTGAACTCGACTGTAGCCCACAAAATTCTGTCTGAATTCGACTGTAGCCCACAAAATTCTGTCTGAACCGACTGTAGCTCTCAGAATTCTGTCTGAACTCGACTGTAGCCCACAAAATTCTGTCTGAAATGACCGTAGCCCACAAAATTCTGTCTGAACCGACCGTAGCCCCACAAAATTCTGTCTGAACCGACCGTAGCCCCACAAAATTCTGTCTGAACCGACTGTAGCCCTCAAAATTCTGTCTGAACCGACTGTAGCCCCACAAAATTCTGTCTGAACTCGACTGTAGCCCACAAAATTCTGTCTGAACCCGACTGTAGCCCACAAAATTCTGTCTGAACTCGACTGTAGCCCACAAAATTCTGTCTGAACTCGACTGTAGCCCACAAAATTCTGTCTGAACTCGACTGTAGCCCACAAAATTCTGTCTGAACCGACTGTAGCCCCACAAAATTCTGTCTGAACTCGACTGTAGCCCACAAAATTCTATCTGAACTCGACTGTAGCCCACAAAATTCTGTCTGAACTCGACTGTAGCCCACAAAATTCTGTCTGAACCGACTGTAGCTCACAAAATTCTGTCTGAACCGACTGTAGCCCACAAAATTCTGTCTGAACTCGACTGTAACCCACAAAATTCTGTCTGAACTCGACTGTAGCTCACAAAATTCTGTCTGAACCGACTGTAGCCCACAAAATTCTGTCTGAACTCGACTGTAACCCACAAAATTCTGTCTGAACCGACTGTAGCTCACAAAATTCTGTCTGAACTCGACTGTAGCCCACAAAATTCTGTCTGAACCGACTGTAGCTCACAAAATTCTGTCTGAACCGACTGTAGCCCACAAAATTCTGTCTGAACTCGACTGTAACCCACAAAATTCTGTCTGAACCGACTGTAGCCCACAAAATTCTGTCTGAACTCGACTGTAACCCACAAAATTCTGTCTGAACTCGACTGTACCCCACAAAATTCTGTCTGAACTCGACTGTAGCTCTCAGAATTCTGTCTGAACCGACCGTAGCCCCACAAAATTCTGTCTGAACTCGACTGTAACCCACAAAATTCTGTCTGAACCGACTGTACCCCACAAAATTCTGTCTGAACTCGACTGTAGCTCTCAGAATTCTGTCTGAACCGACCGTAGCCCACAAAATTCTGTCTGAACCGACTGTAGCCCACAAAATTCTGTCTGAACCGACTGTAGCCCACAAAATTCTGTCTGAACCAACTGTAGCCCACAAAATTCTGTCTGAACTGACTGTAGCTGGTTAAATTCTGACCACTAGAATTGACCTTGTTGATACAGCCGCATGATTTCAGGTCTGTGAGAAACGGCTTTCGGGACACACGCTGATAAGAACTGTCACATGCCCTGTTGTTCAATCAGGCTCATGACAGAACCCTGAATGTTCATTCTTCTGTATCCTGAGGGTCCGATAACAGCTGTGAGATTGCAGGGGGAGAGAGGGGGGTCTTCCAGAGAAAGAGAGGCTCACAGATGAAAAAACACAGAGCAGATTAGTGACCACAGTAGGAGGACCTACTCACTCTGACATTGTCTGGATGGAGACCGCCGGGATGCTTGTCCATGTACTGGCACAGATCTGTGTGCTAAAGAGAGAGAGAGAGAGGGACAGAGAGAGAGAGAGAGAGAGAGAGAGAGAGAGAGAGAGAGAGAGGGACAGAGAGAGATATCGAGTTCAGGCCAGAATACAATGACCAGACAAACATGAGCAAACAAGAACATCCTACTGTTTGAAGTTTCCTTAGAACGACCACAAAAAGAAGGGTCACGCCAAATGAGCTAAAGTGACCAGAGAGAGAACATTAGAGTTATTCAACTCTATATATATATATCAGAAATGGGTACAGCAGACCAACCAATCTCTGTTTGTGATTGGTCACGTCTGTCCAGTCAGTGTACTCTGTCTTTTATGGTCATCAAATGTACTCCTCACCCCAAATTTACACATTCAAACACACACACACAGCCCCTTTACCCTTTTGTTTAAATGGTGACTTTACAGAAGAGGTGAAAACACGCTTTACTTTCAAAGTAAGTTAATGTAAAGGATTTTATTCAAAGCTATTTTAGAGCGTTTCTATTGGTCCAACCATCATGGAGTTTTTACACAGTGTAAAGGACGGTTGCTGAGCTCAAATTATGCCAAAAAAATAAAAAAATCACTAAAACTGGAGATACTTTTTTTTTTTACAATGATAATATATAACTTCTAAAGTTGCTTATAAACTGTATTTGTAATGTATTTTAATAACACAATAATGTAAATTCTATACAAATAAGTTTTTAAAAACTTGATTTGAGACCTTCATTCTGTATTTGTGTATCTTTTTTGGCTTTCGGCCCACCACAAACACTTTGCCTGCCCCCCCCCAACAAAAAAGTTTGTGCACCCCAGGCTAGGACCATCTGAAACCAGCTAACAACAAAAGCTGGATTTTTCCCCGTCTGTCTGTGTGGGGTGTGGGGGGTGGGGTGTGGTGTGGGGTGTGGGGTGTGGAGGGGTGTGGAGGGGTGTGGGGTTTCTACAAGCCGTGTGTGTGTGTATGTCTGTGACCTTGCATGTAAACACTGTCCACAGTATGAAAAATTACCCACAATCCTCGCCTCACTCTTTTATTCAGCGGCTGGGGGGGCTGTTTGGTATTTACACGCAGATAAATGTGTTTCCTTTCATGAATAATGCAGCCAGCCGGCGGAACGAGCTCCTACACGGCCTGTCCATCACGCGCTCACGCGCCCTCCTCCCCCAGCGTCCATCTTCATTAGCGGCTAGCTGTGGAAAATGGATTGATTTCCTCGGCGTGGAGCTCCTGTTTGTTAGCATAAACACACAACGTTTCACGCATGCTGAATATCTGGCAACCCAGCCGCTCCGATGAGCTCGCGGCGGTGGGTCCGAGCCTCCTGTCTGAGCCGAATCTGCCCGCTCTCGCCGGACCCGCACCTGTCAGTGTCCAATATCCGCCGTCTGATGGTTTGTTTTCACACCCGGCGTGTGACGCTTCAGATTTCATGAATAAATCAAACGTTCTCATCTCATTTCGCCACCTCATCCAATTTACAGACAGGAAGTGCGTTCCGCACCGATATTGTTCGTCTGAGCATGAAATAAAGCAGCGCGAGTCTGAATTTACACCCCCGCTCGGCTCTCACTCGCAGGGAAGCGGGATTTCTTCTCGAGTCCTAAAAATACCTCCGATCAGCGAGAGTGAGAGTGATATCTCAGTCGGCGGAGCAGCTGAGCTCAGCGAGCTCCCTCACTCAGCTGGGCTCACTGTCTGTCCCTGCAGCTTAACTGGAGCTCCAGCAGCACCAGAGCCGCGGCTACTCCATAAGAAATCACTCTGGATGAAAAGAACTGATAAATGAATGGAAGTGTTCGCGCGGGTTTAGTCTCCGTCTTATCAGGCCTTTGTTCTGTAAAATGGCTCATCAATTCAACCTTAAAATGACTTCATTACTTCACATGCACTGGGGGGGGGATCTCTGGGCACCTCACGATTCGATTCGGTATAAAACGATTATCGATGCGTCTCGATCATCTTTTTTTCTATACAGGATTTCTGTCTTCCTACTGTCTGAGGACTCGGTAATGTTAAACCAAAGTATCTGTATTGATCCATAATGAATTTACTTCCAGTATCTTTTATTAATAAATCAGATGGGAGTGATGAGGTCAGTGAACTAGACGGCTCTCATTCACTGCTCTAGTTTGGAGCACGAGACGCTGCTGCTACTCATCTGTGATAAAATGCGCTGTTACGGTGAAATAAGGTCCAGTGGTGATGGACGACCACGCAGCGCGTTACAGCTATTCTACCTGTTTAATTCAGTGATTTTATAACTTCGGTTTTGGTCTCGTTGTAGAGACGGGGGGTCGCTGTGTCAGTAAAGTATCTTTGAGACGGGTCGTGTGCAGCATAGCGCGAAAGCCCTGTTTCGCAGCGACTGAGAACCGGCAGACTGCAGGTCACATAGCAGCGATGCGTTATTCGCATTTATAAGCAGCGCAGTTGGTTTACTGGAACATTAAATCTACAACAAGAGACTGTCAAACACTAAAGTTGAAGATGACATCAGCTTCTCTTTCGAATTGTCCCGTTCCACCTTAAATGGTGCCGCATTTACATTCGGTGCCTCAGTCAGAATTTAAGGTGGAACGGGAAAATTCGAACAAGAAGCTGGAGAATAAGAAGCGACTTCAGCCTCGGAAAACAGTCGAACGAAGAGAGACGTTTAACTGATCTGAGTTTTCATTTATAATTTTTAACCTATCTTAAACTAGGACATCATCACACACTGAGACATACTGGACATTAAATGTTGTGGCTCCCAAGCTGGTTTGTTTTTTGTTGAAAGGACAAAATGGCTCTTCTTATCATTTGTGCTGTGACTCCTGATCTAACCTGGCTTTAATGCAGAGGGAGCCGGTCGGATTTCTCGCTCAACCAGCTGTGTTTTTGTTGTGTGCCGTCACAGACTGTCCGGGCGCTGCACTTCCGCACTTCCAAGTTCCGCCCTTTGCGTTCCGCCAACATTACGGTATAAATTAGATATTTAGAAAATCGATTTTTGACATTTGTGAATCGATTCAGAATCGTTCACGTCTGCATCACGATGCATCTAAGAATCGATTTTTTCCCGCACCCCTAATATGCACCATTAAAAATGAGAGGTCAGCTCAACTTAAAATGGTATAGAAACTGATTACATGGCTTTTCTTGAGTTGACTCAACTTGAGGACACACAACCCAAACTTCTTAGTTGAGTCGAAAATTCTCCCAGCGACTGTTTCTAGCTTTGCATCTCAGTTAGATAAACAAAACTGAATTTCTGTTTTTTACTCAGTTTCTCCACTAGCTGGCGCTCCTTCTATCACACAGTCCCATCTGCCATATTTTCCTCTTGGGCTTCCGGATATGGGCAGCTGTGGCATTGCTGGGATTCAAACTCACAACCTCCTGATACTTTGTTAGCCCCCTTTTACCCTGTTCTTCAGTGGTCAGGACCCCCATGGACCCTCACAGAGCAGGTACTATTTGGGTGGTGGGTCATTCTCAGCACTGCAGTAACACTGACGTGGTGGTGGTGTGTTAGTGTGTGTTGTGCTGGTACGAGTGGATCAGACACAGCAGTGCTGCCGGAGTTTTACACACTGTGTCCACTCACTGTCCACTCTATTAGACACTCCTACCTTGTCAGTCCACCTTGTAGATGTAAAGTCAGAGACGATAGCTCATCTGCTGCTGCACAGTCTGTGTTGGTCATCCTCTAGTCCTTCATCAGTGGTCACAGGACGCTGCCCACAGGACACTGTTGGCTGGATATTTTTGGTTGGTGGACTATTCTCAGTCCAGCAGCGACACTGAGGTGTTTAAAACTCCAGCAGCACTGCTGTGTCTGATCCACTCAGACCAGCGCAACACACACTAACACACCACCACCACGTCAGTGTTACTGCAGTGCTGAGAATGACCCACCACCCAAATAGTACCTGCTCTGTGAGGGGTCCATGGGGGTCCTGACCACTGAAGAACAGGGTAAAAGGGGGCTAACAAAGTATCAGAGAAACAGATGGACTACAGTCTGTAACTGTAGAACTACAAAGTGCACCTATATAGTAAGTGGAGCTGATAAAATGGACAGTGAGCGTAGAAACAAGGAGGTGGTCAGAATGTTATGCCTGATCGATGTATATATATATATATCTATACATACACACTGGTGTTTACATAATGATCCGGTTTTTAACAGTGAAACAGACTAAAACATCAGATGTACATGTTTAATATTATTCAGCGAGTCTAAAATGAGTCGAGTTCTCTGTCAGTTCTGTCTCAACACGGCGATTATCATCAAAGCACGGCCATCGGTTTACCTGTCAATCATCTCCAACGTGTCTATGCATGAGTGTGCGCGTGTGACGTGGTGGTCCTGCTACTCACCACGTACTCAAAGACGAGCGTGAGGGTCTCCTTGGTGTGTATGATGTCATGAAGCAGCACAATGTTGGTGTGTTTCAGGCCTTTCAGCAGAGACGCTGTAAAACAACAACCCTTCATTACTGCAGTGCTGACCCACAACACAGTCCCACAGCGGAGCAAGAGGAGCTCCACTTCACCGCTGTGACAGATCCCTTCAGCCATGCTGCAGGAGCACGCAGTGTTGGTTATACATGAGAATTAAACGAATTCAATTATTAAATTAATAACACACTACATAAGCATCTACACATATATAAAAAAATTATGATAATAACTATAGTAACAGTTATATAGATAGAAGTACCTACATGTGATAACAACAACAATAATAATAATAACTAATTATTATATACAGTACTGTGCAAAAGTACACACCTGAGTAAATGACACATATAAAAACTATATAACTGGGCAGTAAACATTTATTTGCTCAGAAAAAATTATATTAAAATAAACAAAATGATATTAAAACAATAAACAGTGATTTGTCCATCTGTCACTGTGTTTGTTTAACCAGTTCCTAATGTTCCTAACAGGATTAACTGTAGTTGCCACAAGAAATCAACTACTTTTTTCAAAATAAGAAATTTTTGGTTAGTTTTTTTTACTACATTTATTCTAAAGATAAATGATGATTTTACAACTGAAAGCACACTCACTGCTGAGATAACGGGTTTTACACAATTTGCTCATGTGCTTTTGCACATATAGGGCATATTTTCTACGTTTATTACACATGGATACCTGCATACATATCCAAAAGTTTGAACACCCCTCAGCAAATAACATGTTTTGTTGATTTAGAAGTTAATTTGAAGTCAAAATAAGATTCTCTACAGAGAACATGCTTAAATATGGCATTTTTATATATGGCACAACTTCAAATATGGCATAATTACAGTTTAACATATCAGTTAAAATAAAAACATAATTACCTATCATTTTTTACCTTTAGCTATAGTGATGAACAGACCAACAGAAATAGTATATATATAATAAAATATACATACATTCGTAAGTTATATATATACACACACACACACAACACATACAGACAGTTTCGTCTCACCCTCTCTGATGGCGGTGAAGGGGGTCCCCTCCTCCTCCTGCAGGCGGATCACTTTTAGAGCCACCAGCTTCCCATTAACCCTGAAAACACACACAAACACACACACACACACACACACACACACACACACCACACAGCCTTTACCATTTCACTTCAACAGAGCAGCTGATATAAAGCCACTTAAGTAAGCGCGTGTGTGTGTGTGTGTGAGTGTGTGAGTGTGAGTGTGAGTGTGTGTGTGTGTGTGTGTGTGAGTGTGTGAGTGTGAGTGTGAGTGTGAGTGTGAGTGTGTGTGTGTGTGTGTGTGGTTTTATTATTTTAAGTCGATGAAATGTAATTTCGGTGCGGTGGGCCGAGACCTGCGCCGGCCATTAAAGCACTCCCACCTCACCAATCAGAAGAGCAGAAATCACACCAACAAATAACTTTATTACCACGACCGATTTCATCAATAACGTCAGCCTCATTTCGCTGCATGTGAAATGAGATTCTACAGGCTTTAATCTGGAGAGCGAAACGCTTTAAGGCTGCAGAACCACAGCAGCTTAAACAGCCCTGTTCTGATAGGATTCATGAAGCTCTGCGTTTACATACATCATCAGGTGACCTGCAGTGATACAGTGGTACAGGAACACAGACTACTCACATTATAAAGAGATTATTTTAATCATAACATTCACTCTTATTATTTACTATTTCTACTTGCATGATTCTAGGGATGCATCGATACTGATACTGATATTGGGTATCGGTCTGATACTGTGCTCATTTATTATTATCGTTTATTATTATTATCAATATTCACCATTTTTTTAAACTAGAATATTCCATGCTAATTTTTTTAGGTATCGCCCAGGACTACAGTGTTCGCAGCGCTGCTCAGTGTCTCAGCTCAGTACTCGGTTATTCTGAGTGAATCAGCTTTATTGATAACGGGTCTGTAGACAGAGCGTCTGTAGAGGCTGCGTTTCCCGTAGCAGGTCAGTCAGACGGAGCGTTTCGTACAGTGTGAGTTTATAAATCGTAGCTTTGTCTGAACACAATGGTCTATTCAAACGGACAGTGAGAGTCACCAAAGAGCAAGATCTCTAACATCACACAGTGTCTGTCTGGCTATAGAGGACATTCAGCTCAACCAGCCAATCAGAAGACGGAAAACCAGAAGTGTGAGCTCCTCGGATGTGACTCCTGCTGTCACTGTGCTGCTGCTGAAAGCGACAGATGAGGATCAAAACTATGAAACCTACTTTACTTACAGCTGTACAGAAGAGCTTTTCTGACGGGGAACTAAACCTCCACTGCAGCGCTGCTCGATCAGAGATCACTGATGTAGCAGAGCGAGATAACGACCTTCATTAACATCAGATAGACTTAATGACTTAACTGTTGAGGTACATCACACTCATTTACACTGACAGATACTTCATTCTCAATAGGTAGTCAGCATGGTATCAGACTCGGTACTCAGTATTGGACTCAGTACTCAGTATCAGACAAGTACTAAAACGTACTTATGCTGTTAATCTGAAAAAATGATACAGATGCATCCCTAAACATTCCTTGTATACTTATATTAATGTCTTACATATATTAATATATAGCTTGTATTATATACCCATAAATGATGTTATATAAACATAAACTGTATTTATTTATGTACAAAAAACACTCACTTGCTCTTCCCTTTGTAGACGGTGGCGTATGAGCCCTCTCCCAGTTTCTCCAGTTTCTCGTAGGAATCTGCTTTTCCAAACTTGGGGCTGGTTGGCTGCAAAACAGAGAAACATTCAGGTGAGCTATTTTTACCCTCCTGCAGGAAAAAGCAGAGAGAGTAAATATGTGATATGACTTCTTCTGTTTCATTTAAAAAGCCTCTATAATGTCCATATGATCCACACAGTCACTCTGACAGACTGTAATACACTACAGGAAGTGTAGGGGGCGATATGGCTTCTACTGTTTCCTTTAAAAAGCTCTATAATGTTCATATGATCCACACAGTCACTCTGACAGACTGTAATACACTACAGGAAGTGTAGGGGGCGATATGGCTTCTACTGTTTCATTTAAAAAGCCTCTATAATGTCCATATGATCCACACAGTCACTCTGACAGACTGTAATACACTACAGGAAGCGTAGGGGGCGATATGGCTTCTACTGTTTCATTTAAAAAGCTCTATAATGTTCATATGATCCACACAGTCACTCTGACAGACTGTAATACACTACAGGAAGTGTAGGGGGCGATATGGCTTCTACTGTTTCATTTAAAAAGCCTCTATAATGTTCATATGATCCACACAGTCACTCTGACAGACTGTAATACACTACAGGAAGTGTAGGGGGCGATATGGCTTCTACTGTTTCATTTAAAAAGCTCTATAATGTTCATATGATCCACACAGTCATTCTGACAGACTGTAATACACTACAGGGAGTGTAGGGGGCGATATGGCTTCTACTGTTTCATTTAAAAAGCTCTATAATGTTCATATGATCCACACAGTCATTCTGACAGACTGTAATACACTACAGGAAGTGTAGGGGGCGATATGGCTTCTACTGTTTCCTTTAAAAAGCCTCTATAATGTTCATATGATCCACACAGTCATTCTGACAGACTGTATTATAAATGTACTGCATATTCATGAGCACCTCTCAGTTATCTTACAAGCTTCACATGCCCGTCTACAGCTGCCTTACGAAGTATTAAACCCTCTAGAGGAAAGTGCCCAAGCTAGACCTGTAGCTCAAAGCTAACATAATACTGTGAATTCCATACAGGAGCTAGCAGAAATTAGCATTGTGCTCACAAAGTGATATTTTCAATATAAAACCACACGGCATCTTCATAATTACATGACACAAAAAGAAGAACTTTGTTAATCTAACTGCAACATGCCATGCTTTACTGTTTGCTCCTATAAGTGTTTTTTATCAAATATGTTTAAAAATGTATGAAAATGACCCAAAAATATCTTTTGTTTCATGTACTTCAGTGTTTGGAATATATTTTTGAATCAATGCATTTGAAATGTATCTCATATGATTTCTGGATGGAGATGATGGGCAAAAAGAAATCTGAGCCATTTTCGTTTGATCTTATTATTGATTTCACAGTTTATGAATACGCAGTATAATGCTGACTGTGGTTTTCTGCAGTCAGTTAGTGTTAGATTTGGCATCTAATATAACACAAAATGAAATTAAATTCCAAAACCGGTGGTTAGGGGGCAGTGTAAGTATTTAACACTCATAATGTATATAGATAATCACAGAGTTGCTACTAGGCTATGATTTTATGTGAGAAGGGGAAAACACTGTGCTGGGCCTTTCAGACTAATAAGGAGTCAGGAGGCAGGAGTTAGAGAGCGAGGCAGAGGAGGGGGAGGAGTGAGCAGGAGTTGCTCAGTTACTCCTTTATCTTCCAAAATATTCATCCAAACATACCAGCACGGCTATTAATGGATAACCGCTAGCAGGGCCCAGCTGGGTGAGCTCACGTCCAGAACGCTAACAGAACCCTCATAGCATTCGTTCTTCACATTCCAGACTGTGACGTGTGTTTCCTTCAGGACGACTGAGGGAGCAGAGCTGTTTCTATCGGCTCACGTTCTCCCACAGCACTGTCCACCATCAGCGTCCGGCACAGGCCTCACAAACACAGCAGCGTTCCATCCAGGGTTCAGTCCAGTCTCATCCGCATGAAGCTTCTCCAACAGCCACTGTCCCAAAGCAGCCTGTCCAGAAATGTGGTTGCAGGGCCCTAACAAGAGGAACCAAGACATGAAAGGAAAAAGCTCTCCAAGAGCATGAGAAAGAACCACTGAGAGGAACCAAGACTCACAATGAGAACCTCACTAAGAGTATGAGGAACCACTGAGAGGAACCAAAGCTCAAAAGAAGAACCTCCCTCAGAGCATGATGAAGAACACTGAAAGGAACCAAGACTCAAAACGAGAACCTCCCTCAGAGTATGAGGAGGAACCACTGAGAGGAACCAGGACTCAAAATGAGAACCTCCCTCAGAGCATGAGAGAGTGAGGAACCACTGAGAGGAACCAAGACTCAAGACCACTCTTCTCTGGGCTGCATTTAGGATGCAAGAACAAGTTTATGAGGAAGACTAAACAGAGTCCCTGGGAAAGTAATTCTTCAGCCTTGTTCTGAAGTAGAACCAAAGTCCCAACACGCCTAGAACGTGGCTGAGTGGTGAGGGATCCTCATGCCAGACCGGCTGTGATGGTTCTGACCCCATCAATCAGAATGAAACACAACCTCGCTGCTGCTGGATTAGCCATGCAGTGTAACCCCAACCCGCACTGATACAGTGTAAGGCTGACCGCGGCGGATGTGCTGTAACCCCAAACCGCGAGTATCTGTCCAACACCGGACACCGGCCGCATCCAGAAACCACGCGCTGTCGTCATGGAAATGGCAGGAAAAGTGTGTCAGGCCACGTGCGGCCTAGCATACCTGTAACATCACTAACATTAACCAGGGGGTACCAGAGGTGGACTGCAGCCTTGGGCTGGTTTGGGCTGAAGTCCAAAAGTCACAGTGACCCTCATTCTGCTCTGATTCTGCGTCTGACTCATGAAACTTTTGTACGGAGTGGAAATGATTTTGAGATTTGAGATTCGAGCGTAAATGTTGAATCAGCTTCAGTGCGTGAAATCAAGCGCAGGCCTACCAGCACCTCATTTACATATCGTTTACATGAAGCACACCCTAGTTCATGCAGATGTTTTGGTAGGGACTCAATAAACAGACAGCATTTAGTGGCTCGTGAGCCAATGGCTGTGATTGTAGGCGGAGCTTGAGGTGGTGCGCTGCTCCCCCTCCTGGCCAAACTTCATAGTGTTGAAACTACAACCACTGAGAAGAATGAAATGCGAAATAAACAATACTTCATGATTTTTCAGAAGGCACAATGATGTGATGATTATTTTCCTAAAATAACAGATGAAAACACTGTATTACTGCAGTGTATGACTCTAGTTGTGCTCTGCGTTGTTTGTTTGTGGGCGGAGTCAGTGGTATAAAACGAAAGCACAGTGTAATACATCTTTAAATCCAATATGGAACATTTGTTTACATCAGCATACATGTAATATAAGCTCCTCCACTCTGTGCTGCACAAATTATTAACATTATTGTTTTGCGCTAGTTTTATTCTTATTATTGGTATTAAAGATTATATTGATAATTGTTTGGGTTAGTTAACTGCAAATCAGGCATTTTTCAGGTTAAATATTTAACACACTCCTATCAGACGTGAGTTTGGTCGTACAGACACGACAAAGATGAAACAATCAATAACAAAACCGTAGGTGAGTAATAAGAGCCGCTGTATCTTCTTCATCTGGCTGCCACAAATCACACAGCGGGGTGTTCACTGGTTGGTCAGAAATTTGGCTGGGATACATCAACTCTGTTACTTTCACATTAGAGCCATAAAAATGACCATTTTTAACTTAGACCAGGGGTCAACAACATGTGTCTCCTTTACTGCCCTGTTGTGGCTCCACAGCTGAATCAGATTTGTAGGTAAAAATAAAATAATCCTCCTTTACAGTAAAATAAAGCTCTGCTGATCGTTCAACACAGTTTAACAATAAATGGTCTTAAACTCTGGAGTTAATGTAGAACTGCTGATTCACCCTTTAACCCTGAAGATCAGCGCAGACTGCTGGTCACCATAGCAAAACAGACAACAGTCTCGCCCAGCTAGTAGCTAACGAAACGGCAAAGAGAGAGATTTAAGATGAACATCAATAATTTAGAGATGAATGGACTGGTTAGTGTTTATAATCACTCCAGCTGGTTTCCTGATACGTTTAATCTGCAGCGAGAAACTCAAACACTAAAAAGTCACGAAGCTGAAGTCAGCTTCTCATTCGAATTGTCCCGTTCCGCCTTAAATGGCGCAGCAGTTACACTGTGGCACCTCAGGTCACCATTTAAGGTGGAACGGGAAAATTCGAACAAGAAGCTGGTGAATGAGAAGCGACTTCAGCCAAAAGTCGAGCGCTGAGAGACATTTTACAAGAAACTGTTCTACTTTAAAGAAAAGTTTCCTGCTGGAGATGCGAGAAAAGCAGCTGTAGCTGAGCTGAAGATTAAAGCAGAGCAAAGTAAGACTGTGTTTTTTTTCTTTATATTATATTTTTTAGCCTTTACTAGAACATTAACACATACTGAGACATAATTAGACGGTAAAATGCTACTTCAATAACACAGACATAAAAATGTGGCTCCCAAGGTGTTTTGATTTTTGTTAAAAGGACAACATGGCTCTTCTTAACATTTGGGTTGCGACCTCTGACCTAGACGATACAGTATAACACACAGATCTTATAATCTTGATATAAATGTATTATCGTACACCTACAGTATTAAAATAGACACTTAACATTTGTGTATCACAATCAAAGCAATGAAAATGAACCTTAATTCTGCATCTTTATAATTAAAGCTTTGTCAGTTGGAGTTTAACCAATCAGGTCACTGATGATACAAACACTTCATTATCATTTTACTGCTCTGCCGTCACCGACGACTCGAGCGCCTGTAAAGAGTCAGACGTTAAAACAGGTGTAGTGTGAACACTGAAGTGGGTGTAGCGTAAAAGTGAAAACAGGTGTAGTGTAAACTTGACAAACAATTCAACAAGAAGAAAATGTGTACATTGTAGATTTTTCACCAAACTGTTGTTTTAATGTCGGGGTAAAAACAAGGGGGCGCTTTCACACCTGCCTTGTTTGGTGCAAAACTCTATCTTTACACGACATTTCGAAATACAGTCGTACTGTAACCGGAAGGTCAAATCTGTCCATGCTATATTTTATTAGTCTGGGCGCTTCCATGTCATTTTTTGACGCTGTATTGACAGTGACCTGCCGCAGCCCAGTTACCTTTTTTAATAAACCTTATTTTTATTATAATGTAAACACCTTTTACAAGCTATTTTATTTACACAGAAGCAAAACAAGCGCAAGCTCACTATGAGTAACAGCTGCATTAATGCATTTAGATGGAAAGTAGGAGATTCCAGATTGGGACATTTCAAGCTCCCAATTTGTGATGAACAGAGGTTTAGCCCACACAGTGTGTGCCATGCTACTACAATCAATCAATCAATCAATCATTAATGAATAAATAAATAATCAGACAATTTGGCTGTTAAAATAAACTGGAATCAGTTATAAGAATTCGGTCAGTGCATTGCTTGGCTTAGCTAATATAGCTACCAATTAGCACTGTGCTAACTCCATGCCTAAATCACCCCCACCCCCCCCACCCCCGAGGTGTGGCTGTACTCACGGAGCTGGGGCTGGAGTGACGGCGTAGTTTGGGCGACTCCTTCCCTGCAGACGAGCTCTTAGCGTTGATGCAGGCATTGTTCTCGGAGTGCACTCTCTTCACTTGGCTGGCCGGCTTTTCGAAGGGCTCGAAGCCACTCTGAGTGCGCTGGACTCGAACCTTCCTGTCCTCAGGGATGGTGTCCAGGGGCTTGATGACCGAGTCCGATCCCTGGCAGCCGCGAGTGGACATCTTTGTGACACATATCTGAGGAGGAAGAGGCAAACGGTCAGAAAAGCACCGACTACAGAGACTTTTAGCCTTTAGTTCAACAAGCATTATGTTAAAAATGAAGCATCAGTTCAACAGACTTTCAGCATCCATTACATCAGCATTACTCAATCAAGGACTTTTATCAGTCATGCAATCAGTATTAGTGCAAAAATGTTTGCTTTTCTTAGTTTAACACACTTTAAGTCCGTAAGCATTACATCTTTTAGCAGCTCAGTTAGCTCAAAGACTTTTAGCATTTGTTCAGGTACCACTAGTTCAAAGATTTCTGGCATTTATTTGTTAGCATTAGTTACATTTTTACTTTTGGACCAATTAAAATTAATTGAAAGATTTTTTGCATTTATTACAAGTAGTGTTAAGGTAGCTCACACACCTGCAGCATTTGTTCAATTACCATTACCAAAGATTTCTAGCGTTTGATTCTTAGCATTACTTCAAACATTTCTAGTATCACTAATCAATTTCTTTTTGGCATTTTTTCAATCAAAATTGTTTCAGAGTCCAGCATTTCCTCCGTTAGCATTAGCTCAACAGACTGTTAGCACGCATTCCAGCAGCCTTAATTCAACAACACTCAGCCTTAATTCAACACTCAGTCTTAATTAAACAACACTCAGCCTTAATTCAACAACACTCAGCCTCAATTCAACACTCAGCCTTAATTCAACATTCAGCCTTAATTCAACAACACTCAGCCTTAATTCAACATTCAGCCTTAATTCAACAACATTCAGCCTTAATTCAACACTCAGTCTTAATTCAACAACATTCAGCCTTAATTCAACACTCAGCCTTAATTCAACACTCAGCCTTAATTCAACATTCAGCCTTAATTCAACAACACTCAGCCTTAATTCAACATTCAGCCTTAATTCAACAACACTCAGCCTTAATTCAACATTCAGCCTTAATTCAACAACATTCAGCCTTAATTCAACACTCAGTCTTAATTCAACAACATTCAGCCTTAATTCAACACTCAGCCTTAATTCAACACTCAGCCTTAATTCAACAACATTCAGCCTTAATTCAACAACACTCAGCCTTAATTCAACAACACTCAGCCTTAATTCAACAACATTCAGCCTTAATTCAACAACACTCAGCCTTACTTCAACAACACTCAGCCTTAATTCAACATTCAGCCTTAATTCAACATTCAGCCTTAATTCAACAACATTCAGCCTTAATTCAACAACATTCAGCCTTAACTCAACAACACTCAGCCTTAATTCAACACTCAGCCTTAATTCAACAACATTCAGCCTTAATTCAACACTCAGCCTTAATTCAACAACACTCAGCCTTAATTCAACAACACTCAGCCTTAATTCAACACTGAGCCTTAATTCAACACTGAGCCTCAATTCAACAACACTCAGCCTTAATTCAACACTCAGCCTCAATTCAACAACACTCAGCCTTAATTTAACATTCAGCCTTAATTCAACAACATTCAGCCTCAATTCAACAACATTCAGCCTTAATTCAACAACATTCAGCCTTAATTCAACAACACTCAGCCTTAATTCAACACTCAGCCTTAATTCAACACTCAGCCTTAATTCAACAACACTCAGCCTTAATTCAACACTCAGTCTTAATTCAACAACACTCAGCCTTAATTCAACACTCAGCCTTAATTCAACAACACTCAGCCTTAATTCAACACTCAGTCTTAATTCAACATTCAGCCTTAATTCAACATTCAGCCTTAATTCAACAACACTCAGCCTTAATTCAACACTCAGTCTTAATTCAACAACACTCAGCCTTAATTCAACACTCAGCCTTAATTCAACAACACTCAGCCTTAATTCAACACTCAGCCTTAATTCAACATTCAGCCTTAATTCAACAACATTCAGCCTTAATTCAACAACATTCAGCCTTAACTCAACAACACTCAGCCTTAATTCAACACTCAGCCTTAATTCAACAACATTCAGCCTTAATTCAACACTCAGCCTTAATTCAACAACACTCAGCCTTAATTCAACACTCAGCCTCAATTCAACAACACTCAGCCTTACTTTAACATTCAGCCTTAATTCAACAACACTCAGCCTCAATTCAACAACATTCAGCCTCAATTCAACAACATTCAGCCTTAATTCAACAACATTCAGCCTTAATTCAACAACATTCAGCCTTAATTCAACACTCAGCCTTAATTCAACACTCAGCCTTAATTCAACAACACTCAGCCTTTGATCAGTCAGCATTAGTTAAACTAAGACATTTAGCATTTGAATAATTAGCCTTACTTTCAGCATTAAAGTAGCATTAGACTGATTAGCATTCATTCAAATAGCTACACTAGAATTCTTAGCATTCCTTCAGTGAGCATCAGTGCAACACTCCCGATCAGCACTGTTCAACAAAACCTCCCAGCATTCTGCACCTCGATCGCCCCGCTGCACGTCTCTTATCTCTACCTCTCACACATCAAACACCGAGCACTCACAAATACCAGCCGCATTCAGCCACCACCCCCCTCCCTCTCTCTAATCTAAACGGTCAGTGCCTACCGGCCAGTCCATCACGGCGCGATTGTCAAACAGCACAAAGGGAGCAGTATGTGTGTCGTGTCGGCCACAGACCCTCAGATTAAATATTTACCGCTGGTTCGGAGCTGACGCTCCTCTGTGCCTCTGCCTCTAATTAACACAGCCTGCAGTGAGCAGGTAGAATCAGTTTGCAGCTCAGAGCAGGCCGGGTTACAGCGTCCACCTCTCACTTACACTGACCGTCCAGCAGCAGCTTTACATTAAACTGATGTACTTTCATCTGAAGTACAGCTGCACCACGGATACATGGATCAGGGGCTTTTCCACTGCTACACTACACCCATTTCTATGGATACACTACACCCATTTCTATGGATACACTACACCCATTTCTATGGATACACTACACCCATTTCCATGGTTACACTACACCCATTTCCATGGTTACACTACACCCATTTCCATAGTAACACTACACCCATTTCCATGGTTACACTACACCCATTTCCATGGATACACTACACCCATTTCCATGGTTACACTACACCCATTTCCATGGATACACTACACCCATTTCCACAGTTACACTACACCCATTTCCACAGTTACACTACACCCATTTCCATGGATACACTATACCCATTTCCATGGTTACACTACACCCATTTCCATGGATACACTACACCCATTTCTATGGATACACTACACCCATTTCCATGGTTACACTACACCCATTTCCATGGTTACACTACACCCATTTCCATGGATACACTACACCCATTTCCATGGTTACACTACACCCATTTCCATGGATACACTACACCCATTTCCATGATTACACTACACCCATTTCCATGGATACACTACACCCATTTCCATGGATACACTACACCCATTTCCATGGATACACTACACCCATTTCCATGGTTACACTACACCCATTTCCATGGTTACACTACACCCATTTCCATGGTTACACTACACCCATTTCCATGGTTACACTATACCCATTTCCATGGATACACTACACCCATTTCCATGGTTACACTACACCCATTTCCATGGTTACACTATACCCATTTCCATGGATACACTACACTCATTTCCATGGATACACTACACCCATTTCCATGGTTACACTATACCTATTTCCATGGATACACTACACCCATTTCCATGGATACACTACACCCATTTCCATGGTTACACTACACCCATTTCCATGGTTACACTATACCCATTTCCATGGATACACTACACCCATTTCCATGGTTACACTACACCCATTTCCATGGTTACACTATACCCATTTCCATGGATACACTACACCCATTTCCATGGTTACACTACACCCATTTCCATGGTTACACTACACCCATTTCCATAGATACACTAGACTGGCTGACATCATCAGTTAAATTAGCCTTTGCAGTGCTTGCTAAGTATTTCACATACACCTCCTTTACTACATGAAGCGCTGCAGTTGTTTCCTATCAGACTGAAGGTTTTTCTATAATGAAAGGTTTATTATTCCAACGAGTCCGAATCGGAGACAAGTTGAGAGCCAATCAAAGGATGAGTCTGGGTTGAGTCACAAGCCAGTTATGGATGAGTCCGAGTCGAGTCACGAGTCAGTCAAAATCTCTGTCTAAACCCACCGTCCTGTCCAGCTCTACCCACATGCTGAGCTGCTTTCACTCCTGACCTTCTCCATCCTCGCTGCGAGGGACTTCAGAGAGGACTGTGGACCACAGTAGAACACAGGCTCACTCTCAGCCTTCAGTGCCTGACAGAAATCACAGATTGTGCAGGGCCTGGAATTCAACCCCTCGGATTATCCATGGAAGGTTTTCCACAGGTTTTTATTAGCCCAGATGGATTAAAGGCAGCAGCAGCAGTAGAGACTGTGCACTTCCCTGCATAGCTGATGGCATTAAGCAGTGATGAAGTCAGGATCATTACTGCCAGCTGGATGATTGCAGTTGCCGCAATGCCACTACATCACTGAAACTCCAGCAGGGCCTCGACTACAGCCGTCCTCAATCAAACCGACAAACAGACACCACAGCTTACTTTGCCTTTCAGTCACACTGCGATTATTTATATACACACCGTACCCAAAGTCATCACACACAGTACAGCCGCTTTACATCAAGCTCGACTGAGTATCGTCTAATAGGGCTCTGCAGCTGTCTAACTATATATCAATCTGCTCACGATCCAGTATCAGAAGAAAAACTGCAGTTCTCTACAGCAGCTGACACTGTACATCAGATTTCACTGTTTTCATCTCAATGCATTAAACTTTACTGTCCTGAACTGAACATTCACTGAGTCTCTAAACTTCTGACTGAGTCTCTAAACTTCTGACTGAGTCTCTAAACTTCTGACTGAGTCTCTAAACTTCTGATCTGCCCCTAAACGTCTACTTGTGTCCCTAAATGCCTGCCTGTGTCCCCAAAT